ATATATTGATGATTATTAATCACGTATAAACAATTATTGTGAACGGAGTTTAAATTCGTTTTTATAATATCTTGTAATCATTAAATATCAAAACTTTATTCGAATTTATATAATCCAATCGTAAACACAATCATGTCTTACGATAACGACAAATCCAACAATATTGAAAAGAAAAAAAATATGTAATAACAAATCACATTTTGTAAATAATATAATTTTTACATACCTTATTAAAGCTTTTAAGTTTTCTTCAACTTTTATTTCTTCATTACTCACCAAAGGATTTCTATTAATTGAAAAAACTCTTGAAATAGTCAAAATTTAACGTAATTATCAATCACATATAAATAGTTATTGTTAATGAAGCTTAAATTCGAAAAAAGTTTATCATATCCTGTGATTATAAAATATCAAAATCTTATTCGAATTTATATGATCAAATCATAAACACAATTTATATGATCCAATCGTAAACACAATCATATCCTATGATAACAACACATCCAACAATATTGAAAAAGAAATATCTAATAACAAATCACATTTTTTTAAGAATATAATTTCTACATACCTTTTAAAATCTTTGAATTMTTYTTCAACTYTCATCTTCTTCATCCCTCACCAAAKGATTTTATATGATTTCATTTTGTTTATTATTGAAACTTTAAAAAACAAATTTCATTAAGAAATAAAAGAAAGTAAATGGAAGAGCAAATCAAGAGTTGGAGGTTAAACTTGGGTATAGAAAATTACAAAAATAACCCGGGTTAATTATAGCTATACATTTTTAATCCAGGGACAAAAAAGTCTTTAACATATTCAACATTTAAAAAAATCAAAAAAATGAGAAAAAATATAGGAGGGGTTCTAAGCATTAGAAGGTGCCACCTCATTATGCTTGGTTTCTTCTTTAATATATATATATATATATATATATATATATATATATATATAGATTACACAAAAAACAAGAACTTTAAATAGTAAAATTTGATATTAATATTAATATCGATATATATATATATATATATATTTCCAGAATTTATATTTTATTCAAAAATAAAACATCTTCCCTTTCTCAAAACCACTAAATACCGTATTATATCGACATAAATAAATAATAAAACGAAACATTAAAATTGAGATATATCTCGCTAAATTATGCAAGCACCCTTCTAGTATATTATACATATGTATGTATGTATGTATGTATGTATAGGGTTGGGTTCCGGTGAGAAAGAGAGTTAAGGTGAGAAGCGTAAGAAAGTTTCTCCCCCCTTCGATGCATATTATATTAGGAGGAGACACACCAAATCAATTCACGTATCAAACGCGATTCATGAGTTAATTTGTGATTAAAGGTAATCATTCCTTTTTACGCTTCTCACTTTAACTCTCATTTTCACAGATCATTCGCCAATACATTTATTATTAAATGATAAACATATTTTATTTTCACCATTGGTAATTAATATATTGACGGTTTATGTGATAACCGGGTTCTAATTATTACCCAAGATATTTATTATATGAATTAATTGTTTATATGTATACATGCTTACGTAAAATTAATATGTGAGTATGTGTATTTTATGCATAGGGATACATGCATAATATGTGGGTATATATATATATATATATGAGTATGTGTATGTTAGGTATATATGTATATGTATGCATCAATAAGCATGCATGTGCATATGTGTGCATAAACTTTTATATGCATGTATTGGGGGGGGGGGCCGGGGGGAATTGACCGACTTTCCATAATTGGAAAGTATAAATAGAGGCTTTATATGAAGAAACAAGTTTTTCTCTGCTTCTTTTAGAATTTTGAAAGCTATTCAAGTTAAGTGTTGTCCGGATATTCAAGAGGAGTTTTGCAATCTTCTTCAAAATCAAAGTAATTGCATAAGGTGAGTGATTTCTAAAATACTCTTTTAAGTTTTGGTTAATTGCTGTTGAAAGAACTGCATACCATCTTTAAAATTAACTTGTGCGATTTAGAGTTTTATCCGGATAAGAGGTAACCGGATTGGTTTTAAACCGGACACGTGTTGTCCGATTTAGTTATAAATCGCTCAAGAGTCGTGCGATTTAATGAGTTGGTAGAATCTTGAAATATGTAAACCGGACAAAGGTTTTGAACGAAGAAGTATGAATACGACCAAGCATTGTGCGGTTTAGCCTTAAATCGTCTAAGAGTCGTACGGATTAGTTATAAACCGATCACGTATTGAGCGGTTTAGTCTTAAATCGATCATGTGTTATCCGGATTGCCTTAAACCGGACATAAATCATGCAGTTTAGTTTTAAATCGATTAAAAGTCATGCGATTTAGTCATAAATCGACCAAGTGTTGTCCAGATTAGTATATCGGACAAGAAGGGACAGTGTTGTCCGGATTGTATATCCGGATAACTTATTCGGGTGACTTATATTTGATAATTTTCAAATGTTGAATATTTTAGACATTTATATAATTTAAAAATTGTCTATTATTGGGTTTAATTGTGGATTTATAAAAAGGGTATTTTATATCTTTTTAAAATAAAAAGATATGTTCCAACCAAGCGTGGTGACGTAAGTCTGTTTTGGTATGGAACTGGGTTTGGGAAACTGTTTCTACCAAGCGTGGTGACGTAAGTCTGTTTTGGTATGAAAATATATTTTGGGAAACATTTCTACCAAGCGTGGTGACGTAAGTCTGTTTTGGTATGGAATTGGATTTTTGTAAACTGTTTCTACCAAGCGTGGTGACGTAAGTCTGTTTTGGTATGAAACTTGTCTTTAAGAGGTAGTTCCCCAGACGTGGTGACTTTTGTCTGTTCTGGCTTGGAACTGAGAATGAGTACTTTCAGACGTGGTGACTTTTGTCTGTTCTGATAAGTAGCCCTGTTTTGGTGAAAAAATAAGGGTGTCATATCAAGGAGAGGTGTACTTGGAATAAGAGAGCGTTGTCATATGTGTATATTATTGTAACTCTTATTATTATTACTAATTGGATTTAATAGCTTCGAGTCATCATTTCTTTGTGACCTGATGAATTAGAGATATTATTCCTATTAGAAATAATAATTTAGACGTTATTGAGAAATGAAAAATGGTTTGTCATAACGGGTAAGTATTGCCTTATATCATTTCAGAGGAATTCTGGTCGTTTTATTCTGATGATTCAAAGAAACTTTGGTTACAATATTTGTTTCATTTTGGGAACGTTGGATCTTTAAGCAGATATATTTTATAAATAGAACTAAGGTTCTTGAGTTTATTCTATTATACATATCATCGAGGACTGCATTATTCGATTGTATTGCAAATATTTCTGAGCAAAGTTGCTTTATTATATGTTGGTGTTCATCACCCTGCATTTGCAAAAGAAGAGATTTACTCACTAGACCCTTCTGGTCTAACCCTCATTAAAAATATGCAATGCAGGAACGGCTGGGGCCAGGGATAATAAGGGGAGGGAAAATGCGATTATTTTCCTAACCTGTTATCTGCTTTTGAAGATCTGCATATGATTACTTATTTTTGAAGATACATGTTGTATTACATGTGATAGTACATGATTTGTTTTGGAATTTTCATATGTAGATTTTCTACATATAAGAATCCTTGTACTAGTGGGACCTTGTGATATAAACTATGTTTCTATGTAATGAAATATATGTTATATCAAATGTGGTGTTTGGGGGTGTTACAGTTTACTATAACATTAATTTTAAAATACATTGTTTTTATTTTTTCGTTAACCAGACGAGAGATACATGACATGCCCAATACTGCCCCGTTTCCATCCTTGAGGTCTCGATCCCAATCAGTTACGGTCAGGGACGGACCCAGAAATTTTTTTAAACGGTAGCACCATTTGACCATAAGAAAAAAATATAGGAAGTTTTTTTCAAACGGTGACATCGTTTGACTATAATAAACAAATATACGGAATTTTTTTCAAACAGTGGCATTGTTTGACTAAGAAAATGACACTAACATGATTCGGACATGGGTGTGGGGTAGAATAAAAGCCTTGAAAACCAACTCTACCAAATAAAACTTGTTCTCATTGTAGTTTCAAAATACATATGGTGGCACAAAACAAATTAATACGGTTGCACCGTACACGAAACCTAAATTTTTTACCCTTCGGCGGAGAAACGATACGGTGGCACGTGCCACCCATGGCACCTATGTAGGTCCGCCCATGGTTACGGTCCCTTGTTGGTCTCGGACTACTTGCCAACGGAAAAGATGTGGGTGAAAACGGGCTAAGGCCCAATGGGCCTTTGAATTTTGGAGGAAATGGACCTGGAGCGTGTTCCCCTCTGCTCGTGAATGGTGTCTATGGTGTCCACACGCCCTGCCCCGTTTTTCCGGCCAAACTACAGTACATACTTCATTTTTCAACTTCCATTCATCAAGTTCTAGAGGGAGAAACCATAGGTTTCTAGCGATAGGAGAGTAATAATCAATGGGGTTGGGTTTGCTAGCTTCCAGAGCCCTTCGATCATCGTCATCTAGGGTTTTGTCAACAAATCCTAGATACAATCTTTTTCGAACCATCGTCTCCACACCCGAGCTTCACAAACCTGAAGCCGCGGCTGAAGCGGCTGCTGAGCCCGATCTTCCAAAGCGCACTCCTGTTGCCGGAGCTAGGGTTCATTTCCCCAATCCAGATGATGTCATCGAGGTCTTTGTCGATGGGTATCCGGTTAAGATCCCAAAGGGGATGACTGTTTTGCAGGCTTGTTCGGTCGCCGGCGTTGACATTCCACGGTTTTGTTACCATGACCGCCTTTCCATTGCCGGTAATTGCCGTATGTGTCTCGTCGAAGTGGAGAAGTCACCCAAGCCAGTTGCTTCTTGCGCAATGCCGGCACTTCCTGGTAAAATTTCTATTCTATTTTAGTTGCTAACTCTGTGAAGCCTTAGATTTATAATTTGAATAATTTAATTTAATTTTCACAACGTACGCACACTAAACTCCAGATTGTTTAGATGGTTAATAGCTATAGATGTGGGTTTGGCTTGCTAAAGTTTGATAAATATTAGATCAATATGAATTCTAGGATGCTGTATAGGCTTTCAAAAGTGATGCCTATATTGTTGATCGGGTAATGGGATTGACAATCAATATCTGCGAAGCTTGATTTTTCTTAATTCATTTATATGATCTTTGTTCACACTTAATTAGGTGGTACATAGAAGTGGGTGATGTATATCAAAGTAAACTTTACATATGAGCTTTCAGTTAAGACTACTGTTTGGTGGTATTTGGTACTTCTTGACATAGAATGCAGTATTGTGAAATTTGCAAGATAGTTACATGGTTAGATGTATTCATGAAAATAAATTTTGTTACTGCATTCCTGGTAGTTGAGATATACTCTTTTATATTTTGTTATAGCTATTGATCAGTGGCTTTGTAATTTTATTTTTTTGATTGAGATCATGTGTGATATTCTATCAGTTTTTACTGGATATATTCGTTTTCAGCGTCATGTTATTTACATATTTCTTGGCTTGTTCTCTATATACCTGCTTTGTGCATTAAATTGTAATAAAGAATTCACTTCTTTGATTGACAATTGATTTTGTTTTCTAGTTTGTTTATCCGCTTCATTGCTAATGGCCTAAGAAACACTATACAAGATCCATCGCACAACAAAGTATGCTTTGATTTTTCCAAGAAAGCACACTTAGGATACATTAAATTTTCATCATGTTATATAGATGAATATAAGGGAAAAACGTGGTTAGGTTATCACACTATTATATGGTACGTGAATGCTCATTACCTAAAAACAAGATTGAATAGGTTTAAATTTTTATATCCCTTGAATCGTTTCAGTGTGGCAGTATATCTTAGCATTTTCATCCATGTAAGTCAGGATACTTAGGTAGGGAAACTAAGTATTACGGATTCAATTTATATTCTTTCAAAGTCAGTTTCTCAGGGGTTGCATATTGTAAAGAATTTTGAAGTTTTACCTGAAAAGATGGAAGCTGTGATGTCATCTTTCCAGAAAGATAATTGAGAAAACTGTTGCGTATTTTCTTACATTTTGATCAATCATTATGTATCAAAGGCTTTAAATATAAGGAAAGATTGTTCAAGCATATAGAAGATGTGTATAGAGCATATTCAAAGGTTCCAATATCTGATATGTGTTTGGTATAGGTACTTCCGCCCTGGTAGTATCCGTGCTTCTTACATGAAGATTTGGTTCATTTTGTTCTTTCAACTAATTAGAATTTTGGATTGCTAAAGCTATTATTTTGTTTCAAATAGCTTGTGCTTCAGTAAGGGTTTACTATATCATTCTCTCCTTTTATGAATTTACATGAAAAGTATCACAAATAGGATAAATCATTATAAGTGTTTTTCATCTTCATTGGTTTAGATGTTATTGGGATTGACTCCATGCCAGCATGACTTTCTAGTGAGTTGCTGGTGGGCTCAAGGTTCTGCTGATGCCATTCTAATGATTTTATGACTTTGGGCTAGTTGGACATGACATGAGTGAAAAAGCCATTACCTGTGACACAATCTGTCTTCAGCTTTTGAGACAGCAACATGCGAGATTCAAAGACAAGAGAAAAGAGAGAGAGAGAGAGAGATAAAGATGAGGAGGGACATAAATCAAAGAGAGAATTTATGTAGACATAAATCATAGGGGAAGGAGAAGACTCATGAGAGAATGTACAAAGGTAGATAATTTGTTTTTTGGGGGGGGGGGGGAAGAGAAGGCTCGTGATTAGATTATTGTGTAAAATAGTGACTGTTGTTTATCTTGAAGAATTGACCAATCCACAATTCCACATCCCTCAAATCATCAGCAGACATTGTTACACTGAACCATGCATTTTCGACGATCTATTAAGGATTTGTATTCAGTTCAGCTTAATATGGACATGGTTCAAACTCTTCAATATTCTGAACCTGCATTTTCTAATGCATATGATGTTTTGGTTACAGGGATGAAAATAAAGACCGACACACCAATTGCAAAGAAGGCACGTGAAGGAGTAATGGAGTTCCTTCTGATGAATCATCCACTGGATTGCCCAATTTGTGATCAGGGTGGGGAGTGTGACCTCCAAGATCAGTCTATGGCTTTTGGATCCGATAGAGGTCGTTTTACTGAAACAAAAAGATCTGTGGTTGATAAGAATCTGGGTCCTTTGGTGAAGACTGTGATGACTCGTTGTATTCAGTGTACCAGGTATGCGTCATTTATGTGCTTATCTCACTCAGAATTTATGAAATTTTGGATTGTAGTGTACATTTTATACAACCATGCTTCATGTTCTCAGACAAGCCTGTCTCTCACAACTAGAGACCATCCATGTCGTACCTTTCAGATGACTTCTCCAAAACAACCACCATGTTTATTGTATCATTTTAAAGGATTATTTCGAAGCTGTTCTGAATCAGAAACTCTACTGTAAAATGTAATTTAATTTGCAAGCATTGTCTTGGAATGGAATTGAAGATGCTCATTTGTTGACTTCTCATTGCTGTGGCATTTACCTGGAACATGCATTCATCTTCTTATGTATAGAGTTATGTGCTTGATATGCAAACATAGTCATCTACATGGCTGTAAAAATGTGGCCTTTTTACAAATTTAGTTACATATTCAGTAATTTATGTTTCTCTGGTTTTTTATCAACATTTCTTGTTTTCTAGGTATCTTCACAGTGTTAATTGTTTTTGGCATGTGAATTTCCAAAATAGATATGCCAATTTTGATAAATTATGTGCTTCATGCAGTTATCACCTAATTGTATAGAAACTTGTGATATGGATTTGTGATTCACTTCTAGCTTGTTTCTTTCAGTGAACACTTGGCTATGAATGGAACACTTGACCATTATATTTGGTATATTTAGGTGATGGTTTATTTCTGTAACTTACGGAGATTATACGGACATCGTTTACTTATTAAGTTGACTGAAGCGGGTCATAATTATTTTTTAGGGTACATGGATGTGAACTACTTATGTTTGGCTTTCGTGCTTACTGCTCAATCATTCATGAGCTCGATAAATAAAATGTTTTCTGGATACTCTAAATTTGAAGTTACTTGATTTTTGTCGTCCTTAGATATTCATAAGAACCACATTCATTGGTATTGAAAAGTCACGTCTCTTTAATTTTAGTGTTACTGTTTTGCTGCAGTCAGTTTTTGTCTGCTATGTAGTATTACTTGATTGATTCTACAGATACGCCTTTGATTTGTGAAAGTCCTCTTTTAACTGTGCTAAACTAGTGCATGTATATATGTTATTTCATTTTTCTTCTTGATGAGTGAGTAGTGGTGGCTCTGCTTTATTTTTGTTGCTAATATACTCAGAATCTGTTGAGCAGATGTGTCAGGTTTGCAAGTGAAATAGCTGGGGTGCAGGATCTTGGCATGTTGGGGCGTGGGAGTGGAGAAGAAATTGGCACCTATGTTGAAAAGCTTATGACCAGTGAACTTTCAGGGAATGTAATTGATATTTGTCCTGTAGGAGCACTCACCTCGAAGCCATTTGCTTTTAAAGCTCGAAATTGGGAGTTGAAGGGAACAGAAAGCATTGATGTTACAGATGCTGTTGGTTCCAACATACGTATTGACAGTAGAGGTCCAGAGGTCATGCGCATTGTTCCACGGTTAAATGAGGTATTATGCTTACTCATCTTCATGTATATGAGCTTTAACATGGTATTTGCTTGATCTGTATTAGATGTTCTACATTTTTTTGTTCGAAAGTATTATCAGTTTTTCTATGATTAAGATTTGGTTAACTCTATTTCGGTATTTTTGTAGCTCTGTTTTTTAGGTACAATAATCATTTCTTCTTTCGAAAAATAAGGAATTCTTGTCTACATCTAAGTTTGTGCTAAAACTTTTAGGATGAAATTGGCGAATGGAAGGGTTTAAAGTTTTTGTGATCTGGGTTATGTTTCTCTCCAAGTGGGATCTTTTTGTTCTTGGGGGGGGGGGGGGAGTTTCGGTTTCGGTAGGGTTGCTTAAGTTCACAAACAAAAAGGTTGGTTCAACCTTATAGGCTTTTGGTTAAATGTTGTAAAAGATACTGCTGATTTTTCCACCTTATTGAAAGCCTGTTTTTCTCTCTTTTTGTGCATAGCAAGGGAATGTCGTCTATTTCTCATGTTATATTATTGAAATTAATGACCGGCTCTCATGGCGCTGATCTTCAGCCCTACGATGAGGGCACCCAAATTTCTCTTCATATGTCATGCCGTTTGGAGTTTCTATCTACACTCAATATTCAATTATACTTATAATTATGATGTAATAACGACATCAACTGTGAGAAGTAAATATCTATTGATCATCAGAACAATCAGTCATATCGGAAAAGCCTGCATATTCTTGGTGGAGAGTTTCTCTTGCATATTTTTCCAAGGCCTCTTTGAGTTATGGGTTGGTGGACTTGAGGCCCTCATTCACATATGATTTTTAAACCTCTGTGCTGTTTGCTCTTGTTTGATCCATAATTCCTCGTTTCCACATCCTCTATATGATCCTTGTTCTCCTTGAGGAATATTTAAAAAAGCAGTGTTGAACAAAGACATTAAAATAAGCCTAAAGAAAAGAAGTGAACTGAATTGCACAAATAGTTTTGTTTATCAGAAATCTTGCTTATCAGTTCCTACATTGACCTGAAACAGGACATCAATGAGGAATGGATATCAGACAAAACACGTTTCTGTTATGATGGTCTAAAGAGACAGAGACTTAGTGATCCGATGATTCGTGGTGCTGATGGACGGTTTAAGCCTGTGAGCTGGCGTGATGCTCTTGCTGTGGTGGCTGAGGTCATCCACCAAATTAAACCTGAAGAAATTGTAGGGGTAGCTGGTAAACTCAGTGATGCAGAATCCATGATGTTACTCAAAGATTTCTTGAACAAAATGGGGTCAAATAATGTTTGGTGCGAGGGAAATGGCAAGAATACAGATGCAGATCTGCGTTCCGGATATCTCTTGAATAGCAGCATCGGTGGATTGGAAAAAGCTGATTGTTTTCTTCTTGTTGGTACCCAGGTAATGTTTTGTGACTAATGTTGGTCAAATTTTCAGCCATAAGGTTTGAATCACTTCGGCAATCAATTATTAATACCAGCAATTTTCTGAAGTTTAAGACCAAAGAAAAGCACACTTATGATGTTCTTGCTATCATCCTTGAGCCCTAGTTTGTGTCTGTGTTTCATTGTTGATTAGAGACTTCTTGTATTCAAAATAATATACTCGTTCCGTCCTAAAATAAGTGTCCACTTTCATAAATAAGTGCCTACTTTCCAATTCTACCCTTACTTCTAAGATGGAGAAATTCATTATTTCGAAAAATTGTCATTAGTTAATTAAAAAGTGTAATAGTTACACATTTCTAAAACTGTCTTTCATTGTGGACGTTTATTTTGGGACGGAGGGAGTAGTTAGATTAAAAATGTACGAAACTAAAATTAGGACTATGCAGTTCCATATGGAAGTCAAAATTATGAGTTACCGTATTTTTAATGATCAGAATTCAGGAGAAGTCTAGTTATAGAAGATCGATTAAATTTAATTAGCTAAATCAATACGGCTTTGGGGAAATGTTAAGTACATTCTTAATCGATGATTAACTTCCTACATATCATGAATCGTTCATTCTTTTGAGAGAGATGAATATATTAGGTCTATTTACTAAATCATGGCTCATGCTATTGGCTTTTTGTTGAAGCTTATAATATTTATAAATGGAAAATTAAGTTCACACACACGTCTCACCTCATGGGGAGACTTGAGTTAAACCCCTGATCTCTAGGAAGGTGAGGTTACTCTGTACAGTTGGCGAATAGCCCTTTGGGGATTTGTCTTCTTTTCTTCCCATTTTTTGTTGGAAGTAATAACACCAAGGTTTGCAAACATTTTCAATTGGCAGCCAAGAGTTGAAGCTGCTATGGTAAATGCCAGAATCCGCAAAACTGTTAGAGCAACCCAAGCTAAGGTCGGGTACATTGGCCCTGCAGCCGATTTCAACTATGATCATCAGCATCTTGGCACTGGCCCCGAAACCCTAGTGGCAATCGCTGATGGCGGCCATCCATTCAGTTCCACACTCGCAAGTGCCAAAAACCCTGCCATCATTGTGGGTGCAGGTATCTTCGAAAGGGAAGATAAGGACGCTATTTTTTCCGTCCTCCAATCTATGGCCGCCAAAAACGAGAACTTAATCCGACCTGATTGGAACGGGCTTAATGTTTTGCTCTTGAATGCCGCCCAAGCCGCTGCTCTCGACCTTGGACTTGTGCCTGAATCCGACAATGCCATCGAATCTGCAAAGTTCGTGTACTTAATGGGTGCTGATGATGTTAACTTAGATAAACTTCCAAAAGATGCATTTGTGGTTTATCAGGGACACCATGGCGATAATGGCGTTTATCGAGCAAATGTGATCCTCCCATCAGCGGTGTTTAGCGAGAAGGAAGGGATATATGAGAATACGGAAGGGTGTTCCCAGCAAACTGTCCCGGCGGTCCCCACCATCGGCGATGCTCGAGAAGATTGGAAGATAATCCGAGCACTTTCTGAGGTTTCTGGGGTGAGACTACCTTACGACACCATTCATGGGGTCAGGTCACGGATACGGACCGTGGCTCCAAATCTACTGAATCTTGATGAGCGAGAACCGGCTGCTTTTTCCGTTTCGTTGAAACCTGAGAGCCCTAAAAAGGTAAGTAAATTACCGTTTGGTGTTATGGTCGATAACTTCTATATGACCGATGCCATTACTAGAGCATCGAAGATAATGGCACAGTGCAGTGCCGTGTTGACGAAAAAATGAGCAGCCATCAAAACTTTTAAGTTTTAATAAAGCGGCCGTTTTCTGGTTCGAGTTCTCGGGTAAGAGGGCCGAAGCGCGGAGATGGAATGAAAAAACGAAAAATTTGTTTGTATAAAAGTACTTGCGGCGTAGAGAGTTTATGCTCATAAATGGCAAGTTGAACAGTTTGTTTTTGTAAGTTAAGAAGTTCTTCTCTGTTATGGATTTTTATTATATGAATTGCAAAAACCATGTTTAAATATACAAAATTTGTCATGAAAATCTACTTTCTTTTAGGCTTTTGAGACTGATTTGTGTTCATTAACCAAACTGATTGGTTTGAGCTTGACTTCAATGGTCAAAAGTACTAGGAGGTTCCAGATTCAAATCCAAGGAGGAATAAAAATTCCCTTGTGGCCACGGAGGTTCAAATGCGGTGACTCCGGGCTATTTGCAAAGCAGGTGGTCGTCCTGGTATTAGTCGACTCGCATAGCGGGTTGGATATCCAGGTTAATAAAAAAAAAAAAACTTACAAATCCTTAGGGGCTGTTTATTAAACACTTACCCGATAAGCGCTTGTCGGTAAAATTTAAAACTATCACTTACTTATCGGGTAAGACTTTAGTCCACCAAAACGGCACCATATGTAACAATTTACCCAGTAAGCGCTTACCGTGGTAAGGGTCGTCGCCCTCACTTATCGGGTAAGACTCTTGATCCTTGTCTCGCTCTTACTAGGTAAGATTTTTAGTTCTTACCATATTCATCACGTAAGATAATTTGACTTGATAAGCGCTTGCCCGGGTAAGTGTATGGTAAACGACCCCTTAGTCTTTTGAAGTTTAAAACCAAAACCAGTCAATAATTAGGTCTGTTTGGTAGTAAGCGTTTACCGGGATAAGTGTTATCCTGAACACCTGGTAATTAAATAAAATGGTAAAATGACAAAAATCCGTTCTCATGAGTAGGGCTGTAAACGAACCGAACGAACACGAACGGAGGCTTGCTTATGTTCGTTCGTTTAACTTAACCGAACAAACGAACGAACACAAACGTTAAACGATCGAAAACCTTTGTGTTCGTGTTCGTTTATGTTCGTTTATGTTCGTTTGTTAACATGTTAAACGAACGAACATAAACGAACGGGCTAAACGAACATAAATAAATATTATTTGAATTCAAAGTAAATAAATAAAAGATTATATATTAAATTTAATATATAAACGAACATAAACGAACGTTCACGAACATAAATGAACGAACGAGACTCTTGCTCATGTTCGTTTGTTTAACTTAATGAACAAAAAAAGTTTTTCATGTTCGTTCATTTATTAAATTAAACAACGTAAACGAATTTCCCGTCAAACGATTCGCTGAACGTTCGGTACGTTTACAGCTCTACTCATGAGGGGCACATGGACGGTTTAAAATTTGACAAAGCTAAGTTAATGGAGTTAAGTCAAAGAACCTAAACGGAAACCAAATATAAACCAAAAAACTCTCGGTATAATTATTTAACTTTAGGAACGAAATCCATAATTTGGTGTAGATTATATTGTACACTTTGTAATTCACTCGAAGCTTAATTTTTATTACAAGTGGGGCCAAGTAGAGGTACTCATAGGTTGGGTTGGTCGAGTTTAAGGCATTTAAACAACCCAACATAATGCTTGTGGTTTGAAAAATCTCAACCTTCTCTGACCCAAACCAAAATGTAACCCAATCCAACCCAACTCAAACCGTACGGGTTGGTCTGGTTGATACTTTGGTACATCAAAGTATTTTCATAACATTGAATATGTTGTTTTTTCCAGTCTATTCATAATTTTTTTTCCATATATATCACATTCAATTAATTTTCTTAATTTGTACACACATATATATATATATATATATATATATATATGTGTGTGTGTGTGTGTTCAAAGTTACTGAACATATATACAAAGGAGCTAGTTATACAGATATGGAGAATAGATTGAAAATATATTATATATGTATACGAAGAAGGTAAATGATGGTGTAATTATCTAATGTACATATTAATAGAGACTCAACAATCATACTAAATCTAAGAAATAAAAGGGTACCGGTTCATTTGAGTTGGGTTGGGTTCAAATAAAAGCAACCCGATATCAACCCAATATTTACAGTTTCAAGATTTTACAACTAGATTAGACATAAGGTTTGCTTCAGGTTGAGTTATTTTACGTTTGGTTGAGTAGGGTTGATCTGCTTGGTTGGGTTTTTGTTTTTGAACACCCTAGGGCCAAGATTAATGGTTTAATTCCCAACCAAACAAAAAACCAGCTTTCAAACTGTGACATCCATGACTTTTATCTTGTCTCAGTTTATATTATACCTTTTTATGTTTATTATCAATCAAGATTCAAGAATACATCCACCAAAACAAGCTTTCAAAATGCCATCTTTCAACCTATAAACCTTGTGGCTTTATATATACATATTCCAAATCCAAACCATCTTCAATTTCATCATGATCGAAAAAGAAAACCCGACCGAAACTGTTGATGAATTAGCCCTCGTGAAAGTTGCTTCATGGGCTTGGTATCGACATGGATCAGGGTTCGAACAGAAAAAAGTTTCCGAAAGCGACAATATGGAATTTACTGACGATGTTGTTGCTAGGCCATCTAGGTACAAAATGGAAGCCATGAAAAACCCACAACATATGCCAACATATTTTCGAAGATCGATGTCGAATGGTGATCATGTTGGAAGTTCTCTTCTTGATGTGTATGAAGTTGAGAGGATTTCGAAGGATCTTGATTACTATATAGAGTCGAGTTGTGACCAGTATTATTGTAACAAACCAGCCGATGGTGTTTGTGATCCTGGTGGCAGGAAAAATGGATTGCCGTTGCCGGAAAGGGTTATTAGTGGCGCAAAAGCTAAGAAAAGAAGAAAACGAAAGAAATGGTTTCGACTAATTTACGAGGTGTGTGGATCGAATAAAGGAGATGTGGTGGGGGATGAATCCCGTAACTCAATAGCTAGCGATGTGAAGTCTCAACGAAGAGCTACATCTAAATAGTGTTATCAATTTCATATTTTGACGTGGGAGTGTATATGAAACAACATATCGGTGTTGTTCTATATATGAAATGTTCATTGAGTGCTTTGCGCGTGGTAAAAAAAACACCAAAATACGTTCATATATGAAACATACACACTCGTACACACACAAGAACAAAACATATGAAACGATATGAATCAAAAATCAAACATATTGAATGGTTTGGATTGATAATCATGGGGTTTGTAATATTTATTGGGATTTTATTTGATTACTGGTCTCTCTCTCTTGACTTGTTTCTATCACCATAATTACTGAAGTCTCTCTCTCTTGACTTGTTTCTATCACCATAATTACTGAAACAATAACAAATTAACTGAAACAATAACAAATTAATGCAACCAAACTTAACTACCAAGTGATTTGGAAGGTCCAATAACTTGTGAAATCCAAATGCACAACAAACCCAACAACAACAAATGCGAATAACAATAATCTAGATGTTCCAAAACATGCTTCAACGAAAATAAACACCCACAAGGTTAATAACAACCATATATATATATATATATATGCTAGGATCTAAGCATATAACATCATCACAAACAAATAACAACATAACGATTTAATGTGGTTCAAAGAGAGAGATAACAAGTATTATATTACCATCAAGTAGATTACAAGACATTTTAATTAATATAGAAGAAGTCTAACAGCAGAAATACACACCCATTCAGAATGGAACAAGCAAGAGTACCCATTCAGACACAAGCAAAGTTACAAATACTACACACCCCACTACCACTACCTACATTAATTTAAACATAAAATCAAATACAGAATCAACCATTAAGTTCAGACATGAAACTTACCCTTGGGAACATCTGTTTCATTCTGTGATTTCTCCCAGTTCATTCCATCAAAGTGCTTAATCTCTATATGACTTAATGTCCCTGGATCGACACATCTATATGTAATCGCTATCCCTTTATTAGACCTTGGAGTATAAAAAGATGTTATGCCACAGACCTTGCAGAATGTGTGTTTTGCTGAGTTAGTACCGAAAGTGTAGGTGGTGATGAAGTTTTCTGAGTCTCCCAAAAGCTCAAACCTTTCAAAAGGCACAACAAAAGTGTCTCTTTCTTTCTCTTAGAAAAAAAATCAAATTTATAAGGCATCAAAAATGTCTAATTAATAACATAGACCGTTTTATATGACTTAATTTACAAAAACCTATTTTATAGTAGCGAAAGACAGAAGGTCAAACCTTTCAAAAGGCACAACGAAGTGAGTGTTTCTTCTCATGGAACAATCTGAGCAATTACATTGCCATGCGACAACGCTGGCGGGTGACTGAGCTCGCCATCTCACACGTCTACAGTGGCATCCGCCGTTATGCACCACCATCTCCGAACCCATTTTCCGACGGTTTAATTCTTCAGCCACTTCAATTCGTCTGCACTCTAGCTATATATACATACACACATATATATATATATATATATATATACACATACATTCACATTTGTATAAGATCGATGAGACTTGGTTCAAACCATTGACTTTTTATTGTTGTCTAGTAAAGATGAGAAAAGGAAAGCAAGTTGGCATCGCTAGAAACTGACATGTAGACTACATCCATAACACATGTCACCGTTCACCTCCTTTTTGCATCAAGATATATATGTTCCTCACCTATTTATTTATTTATATGTGCTTACCAAATTAAGTTATAAAATTTATGTTCCATTATGCTACCAAATTGTGTCGGTTTGGGTACACGTAATTTTTTTGAAGTTCGTTCGAATCTCAATACACTTAAAATGAATTAAAATATGTATAGGTTGGATTTCGGTGAGAATGGAGGTTATGGTGAAAAGCGTAAGAAGAGATTTTCACCGTTGAATCAATCATAATTGAATGTCAACACTAATGAGGTGCACTGAGATGCATCAGATTAATTCTCTTCTAAAACGTGATTCATGGGTGCACATAAAGTTAAAAGTGATAAGGGTTTAGAATTATCTTATTACACTAATCACCATAACTTCATTTCTCACACGATGCTTTCCGAATATATACACACACTTATATACTTGTAAAAATGCATATAGTCTATTTGAGTTGGGATCATTTGGACCAGCCACTTTTGTATGAATGTGACACATACCGTGAAAGATCCGGTTTTTCTTATGAGGGTTTGTTGTGATTTTCTATGTTTTTCTTGTGAGGGTTTGGTATTTT